TCCAATCTCTTCTGTAAAAAAAAGGAGACATTTTCCCTAAAGATATATCAGACAGGGAATGCATGATCAGGAAGCAAGGTACAGGTGTACATTGTGGAGGAGACTGCTATTCGGAGTCTTAAAGGCATGGCATTTACCAATTAGCAGAGTTTAACTTTTTTTTATAAAGATTCAATGCCCACTGACTCCACCCGCCATGGAGTCCTACAAGGGGACATACTTCAATATCAAACAGGGTTTCGTAAGTACTGTACCCAAACACCAGCATCAGACATGATGTCCACAACATCTGGTACTCAGTTGACCCTAACCCACTGAGACCAACCGATTGATCCTGGGGGGGGGGGGCACCCCAAGGCCACAAGTCTACAGGAATTCAAGGCTAAAGTGGTGTGTTGCAGTGCTACAGACACCACTCAACTACCTCTCCTTCCCTTCACAGGTCACCAAGCATGGCAAACACGTGAGTGGATGTTTAGATCCCAGAAGAAGTAACTGAAAATACAGAACCTTCCCTTCTACACCACATACAGATATCCACGTCGAGGGGTAGGCAGCTGGTATATGACTGAACAGAGTTGTTTAAACATTTGTTTAACAACAAGTAAAAACTTGGAATGGTCTATTTTTTCATCGGAGGTGTGTCTGTGAGCCAGACTAGTTTCCAGTGTCATTGATGAGGACTGGAGTTATCTGAAACTAGTCTGGCCCACAGACACACCCCCGATGAAAGAATAGACTATTCCAAGCTTTTACTTGTTGTTAAACAAATGTTTAAACAACTCTATTCTATCAAATGATGTATTATATTACATTGTTTATAACCAATAGAAAACTAATGTTTTAATATATCAAATGATGTATTATATTACACTGATTTTAGTACAGAGTATTGTCTATTTCACTTTCACTTTAAAAGTTTCTGTCTAGGCATTAGGTATACAAGCATAAGGGAAGCTTTAAAGGTTCTTATGCCATAGTTAGAAAGCCAGATAAATTATGATGGTTACAGAACTTTGTTTGCTTTGTGTTATTCTTCTGTGTTCTTAGGGGCATTATTTAAGTAAATAAAAATTTACTTGTACCATAAGAATAAAAAAGTAGGCTTAAATTTATTCAGCAACTGAAAGCAAAAAACAAGAGATCACAGGTGATATATTTCTTGTTTTTAATATATATATATTTTATATTTATTATAAAATAACTAAAATATAACTGTTACAAACTTGTTAGATTAAGTAAGATAATGAAAAATATAATAAGAAAAATTCTTCACAAGGTATGCTTGCAAGCATCTCACAGGTTACGTATTTAATACAGTAACACAAGCTACACATTCTCTGATTTACAACTTGTGCAGGATTATTAATTAGACATGGGTGAAAGGGCAATAAAACAATAAAATTAGGTTTAAGCTGTAGTTATAGTTTTGTGTTGTATAACTTTGTTGTATAATTGGGTATAACTAGATATGTACTGTTAGGAGTTTTAAACTATTTAACATAAACAAACTGTAGTTTCAAGTTACAATTTGTAGTCATTCTAGATAGAGAAAATGGTAATTTAAATGTATTTGGTGATTTTATGGTAGTTACAAGGTTGTTCAAATTGACATATTGCACGTAGAGTTAGGATAAATAAAATAACAGATAAAATATAGTCTTACAAATAAAAACGTTTAATACTTACTTAGGATATTTTAGAGATTACTCAAATAGAATTTGACAATTTTAAGATGAAAAAATATTTTTTATCTGAAAAATAAAATCACTTTGAATTTCGAGTAGTCAATACTATGACTTCATATATTCATGGACAAATTTTCAGTAGAAATACTTAATTAGAATATCTGATTTTTTTTTGTAACACAAGACTAGTAATGTTTACTGAATTTCATAAAGATACAAAACATATCAAAAATTACAGTATAGACACTCTTATGTTCACTTTAGGGCTACAATATCAGTTCCACATCCATGTCTGTGTCATAAAAGTTGAGCCAGTGTCAATGAACTTAAGTTTTAGGTGATGTATGTACTTACCAGATGTTCTTTCTAGCTCATATTCAAAATCTCTTTGATATTCAGTTTCTGTTTTCACATTCATAACATTATAGTGTGAACTACCCTGATCCTCATCATCACTGTAACTGAACTTTGAAATAACTTCATCTTGTAGCAGATCACCAGGATGTTCCATTTTCACTTGAACAGATATGTTCTAAAATCAAACAATGGTTGAAAGGGTTAATAGAAATAACAACTACTGTTATCATTACATATAGACTCCACAGTTCTTGAACTTAAAACATGATGACATAATTAGAAAACCTATCATATCAAATGTAGTTATGTATGTAAACAGTGCTAAAACTATTTAAATACAACATACTTTATAGACAAACAAAACATCAAAAAAAGAAGCTATGCTACAGGAAACACCTAAGAAACAGACAATAAATTATTCTACAGGAAACAACCAATAACCACGTTATTATTTTGAAATAAATAAAAACCCTGAAGAACAAAGGTCCACCTTTTGAAAGCACTCGGGTTATAGGGTTTTTATTCATTTCTATCAAGACTTCTTGAACCTATGTGTTTTTCTAACACTTTATTCTTTAAACAGACAAGAACTTGTTCTACAGGAAACACCTAATAACAACTTTCTTATTTAAACAAATAAAAAATTATTTTACATGAAATACGCAATAATAATTTTCACATTTACCCAAATTAAAAGTAAAAATATTGAAATTGATATTGTTATGACAGGGGAAGTCACGTGATGCTTGGAGCATGCTCGCTGGAGTTTAGAAGAATCATGACTTATCGAGGAACCTCGCGAATGTACGAGTGTTTGTCAGGCACCCTAGTTTTTAGTATATAAGCCTGCCGAGAAAAACCAGTGTGATTAAAGAGATAGATAATTGAGTCAACCGAACAGCAGGCACCGTAAGTATTGTGGGTGAATCACTGTAACTTAGAGCGTGTGTTATAAAGGTTGTTAAGTTTAAAGTGACTGTGGAAATTCTATGTACTAAAAAGTTGTATCCAGAAAGAATAAACTAGTTTAATTAAGAAGGGACTTGTATCGCTGAAGTTGCTCGGAAAGAATTTTTACTGGAAATTTACAAACGAGCAGATACATAACAATATCATACTGCAGCAAAGCATCAAGGGTATCTGTAGAAAACATTGGGTACTAAAGAATGAGGAAAAAATATATGTATAAAAGTAAATACATACCAAAAATGTCTTGATTTTGTTTACCAAACCAGATTAAAAATACAACAAAACTAGAAAGAATGATAATCAGTATAAAGAAATCAATCTAAATAGTGTCACCATCACTAATGTCAAAGTCAAGCTTTGAGATAAAGTTTGTGTAAAATGGTGCTTTCATTGGTATTCTTATAATTAAAATGAAAGCAGAATATGGGTAATTGTTATATCAGTGTTATAAGTCTTGCCTTAATAACAGGCCTGAAGTCAACACAAATGATGAACAGGGCTGTGACATTACTAGATCAGATAATTTATTGTGGTGTTAGCAAACCTGTTCTCACAATTACCAACATGGCTGGGAATCCAAAAAACTGAACAGCGATGGAAAATGATGAAAAATTGACCAGTTTTTTATAAACACCCTAGAAAAATAAATGAGAACTTATATTAATTCCAGGGCCTTCAAAGAGCTAAGCAAGTAAGTAAAGATCATATAATTAGTGAATTGTTTATCTCCAACATAATCAAGAGCAGGAAAATGACATATAATACAACAGTGTACACAGAATCTGTAAAGGGGATCACACAATTGCTTGCCATAACACATTAAGACAGAGCTAAAGCAGTCATCTGATTTCAAACCATCCACAAAAATAGGAACAGAAGGATAGTTTGAAAGGTGTTCAGAAAATTTAAGTCTGCACTTCCAATGAGGAGTATCTGATTTCTTCAGATGATTTAAAGAAAGGTCACAAGTGGGGTTACAAGTCATGTTTGAACGGGCTGATCAAATTCAACAATATCATCCTGTTGCTGATCCAGTTCAGTCAACTGTTCCTGGATACTGAGACCAAAGATAAGAACAGAGATCATCTATTTACAAAAACCACAGCCTACTAAGGCATGATGGCACAATAACAGATGGGATGGTGTAGTAAGACTGTAGCTCAGAAATATGCTGTAATGAAAGATTCAAATATCTGATATCAAGAGGAAGTCCATAGGACTCAGTGTATAAACTCTGGATCAGAGAAGAGCAGAAAGTCCTGATAAGAAATGCTGCCCATTCAGTAAGATGTGATGACACCAAACAAAATGAATGTAATGTTCAGTTCCACATTTTAAATGAATGAGAGGTTTGGGTATATTTATATTATTTTATTCCATTCTTTTGCTGGTTTTTGTCATGATTTTGAGATATGTATAAAAAGATTGGCATACACACACAGTGTTGAACTGTAAAGAGTGGTTACACCAGAGAGTGTTGAAAACTGTAGGCACATAAGTTCACCCAGAGATGTTAGTAACTGGAGTGTCAAGTGTAGTTCACACATCAATCTGAAACATCTCCTCCAATAGATGGATTTGAAAGGAGGCAAGAAAGGCTGTGATAATCCTGATCTGATGGAAAGCTACATTATAAAGTATTTGTTCCCCAAATATAGTGGAAGAAGATAACTCCTTAGAGAAGGAGGTAAGCCATGGAAAAAACAGGCAATGATAGTGTCCATGAGAGAGGACAGTGTGTGCTGGATAACATAATGTTCTGGGACAACATGAGACCTATTAGCCCAACTTGGCCATCCCACACTCTAAACTAAATTAATAAATAAATTAAAAAAATTAATTTAAATTTAAAAAAAAATCTTAAAGCCAGACCTTATCATTCATATACTTATCAAGCTTGTTCTTAAACTCGCTTAAATTACTGCCTCCACAACATCCAAAGACAACCCAACCAAAGGCCAACCACTCTTTTAGAAAAATAAAACTGTCTTAGTTCCTACCCTGCCAAAATTTATATTTGTGTCCCTTAGTCCTACTATTCTCAATGCTAAGTATGAAAAAAAGATGATACATCAATACTATCAATTTCCTTTACAATCTTAAACACCTCAATCAGATCCCATTTAACATCTTTTTTCAAAAGAAAACAATTCGAGACATTTTAATCTCTCCTCATATGACAACCCATTCATTCCAGGCACCATTCTAGTAACCCTTCTCTGAACCCTTTCCTACAATTCAAGGTAAGGAGACCAAGATTGAACACAATATTCCAAATGTGGCCTAACTAGTGACCTGTACAATGAAATTATAACCTCTTTATATATGTATTTAATATTTCTATCGATACAACCTAAAATCCTATTTGCCTTACCACTAGCAACAGCACACACTGCTTGTACGGCTTTAGAGACTGTTCAACTATTACACCAAGATCCCTTTCTTTCATGACACTGTTAAGGTTATTCCCATCCAAATTATACTTATAATTCAAATTATGGTAACCCTCATGCATTATCTTGCATTTATTATAATTAAAACCCATTTACCTTTATTTGCCTGAATCACTAAATAATGAGCAGCATCCTCTTCACAGTTAGCAACACCCAAGACCTAAATATCATCTCCAAATTTAAGTAATTTATTGACTATTCCTTCATCCATGTCATTGATGTAAATCAAAAAGAGTAAAGGTCCTAAGACTGAGCATTGAGGTACCCCACCTGTGACATTAATCCAGTTTGACTGAACTCCCTTTGTAACAACCCTCTGCTTTCTTCCACCCACCCACTCATCTATCCAATTTACTAACATATTCTCCACACCTATAGATATACTTTTTTATAAGCCATTTATGTGGCACCTAGTCAAATGCTTTCTGAAAATACAGATACACCAAATCTACATCCTTACCCTCATCAATGAATGTCAAGATATGTTAGGCAAGATTTTTCCTTAGTAAAACCATGTTGACTATCCAAAAAAATTATAAAGTTTGTTAAATGACTTTGCAAAGCATCTTTAATCACACTTTCCAAAACTTTTCCCACAACTGATGTAAGACTAATGAGTATGATTACTGGGATATTTTTATCACCTCCATTGAAAAGACGAGTTACATTAGCTAACTTCCAATCCTCTGGTACCTGCCCATTATTCAAAGACTTACAAAAAATAGTAGCAAGTGGCTCACATATTCAATCCTTAACCTCTTTCAACATCCTTGGGGAAATATTATCTGGTCCAGGAGCCTTGTTGTTCTTTAAACTTCAAATTTTTTCTTAGAGCTCAGGATTAATGTAGTCATCTTATTTGATCTTGATTCCATTGTTTCAACTGTTCAAGATGTGGAATACAGCTTAAATCATCATTAGTAAATGTACCCCAGTAGAACAGCACTAAGTCTTTAGACTTACAATGCTCAAATCACGAGTTTGATTCCCCTTGGTGGACACAGCAGATAGCCCAATATGACTTTGCTATAAGAAAACACACACACACAATCTTTAGTAAAAAATGAAGAAAATTTACTAACACAGCCATTTCATAAACATCAACAACAACAAAAAAAAAACTAAACATGACAGGAATTCTGTTTGAAGGAAGAGAAAGTAACGTGATAGCTGCTTGCTCTTCCCAACAGGGGTGTTCAGAAACAATCATTCCCCTTCAACACTCACACATGGGGAAGTTTTTCCAATTTTGGTTAATTTTAATTTCATGTATTTTATTCCTTGCAATCATATTGCAGAAAGCTGTGAAGAAATTCGGAGAAGACACAAGGATATTGCCACTGAAGGATTCCTTGTTCTTCGTGGTTGGTGGTTTCATTCCAGTTGAAGACGTAGTTCAGCAACATGAAGAGACACAGACTATGACCAAATTAACCAGTTCCAGCATGTGTTACTTTTAAAATTTAAAGATTAAAAGACCCAACTTGTGTTAACATTATGGTTTTCAAAAATAAACCATCAAGAGATGCCGGCCCTTTTCAGGGGAGGCCGGGATGCATCCGTGAACAGATGTAAATCTGGCCACGGAGGAGGAAGTGAGACCCACACCGACATGTGGGCTCTGTTCAATCACCAATGGAGATCGTCTATAAGGGATAATACAATGGATATAGAAGTATCCATGGGATCCCAGGCAAGGATCCATTCATTATGAAGAACCCACTGAAGAAACTGCATATGGGCCCTGCCCAGA